CTAGGTCAACCAACATACCGTTTTGGTTGACAAGGTACCCCAGAAACTGAACCTTGTGCAACCAGAACTCACACTTGGAGAACTTGACATGCAACCTCTTTGCCTGCAGAACTCCAAGAATCTTACGTAGGTGCTCCTCTTATTGCTCCTTGGTCTTATAACTAACCAAGATATATGTTAACATGCTATCGTGGGTGTATTAAGCAAATAAAGTTTCACTGTTGGTTGCACTAATAATATAGTATAGGGGAAGCATGGTCAAATCCTTAGGGACATAGCCTAAAGGTCGATCTCTTTTTGAGTAAGACACATTCTAGTCAAGAAATAGAAAAATATAAAAGGTGGTTTTAATTAAAAACTAAACTAAAAAATTACAGTGAGAAAAACTAACAAACTCTAGTATAATCTCTTTTACCTAGTTAAATTAATCAAAACAAGCTCTTCAGTTGACCCTAACTTTTTATTGTCTAATTAAATAAGCTCTTAATTAAATCTAAAAAGTTGCATTAAGTTATGTGTAAAATTCCCAGCAATACCAAATACTTCTCATAAGCTCAGATGTGTAAATATATGATTTTTCAGTTTATATCAAAGTTAGATCCCCAACACAAAACCAATATGATATTTGTTACTTATTATCAGTTGATAAGAGCAATTACAGATTCTATTACTAGATTAACTGGAATGATTAAACCCTAACCTAAGTGATCAGACTAACAAGAATCAAAATCAAAAATTCGTTAAGTCCAAAACTAATAAATCTAGATAAAAGCACACAATGAAAATCAAATCTGATAACTGATCACATGAAAAGTACTAGTCTTTTTGCAGAACTGAAAACTAGGGTATTAGCCAGACATAGCTAAAATCTGATCCAGAATAATAAAGAAACATTAAGTTACTAAATCTTACTAAACTAAACGCGGGAGATGATCCACAACCTTCAGATCTTCAAAAAGTGATGAAAAGTGCAAAAAATCGCCTTGAGAAGGGTTTTCGTCGTCTGAAACCGACTTAGAGGATATCTGGTATTTATATAGTAGTTCGGGTAGCAAATAAGGGTTCTGCAAGTAAGCACAGCCCATGCCAAGTCATCACAACTTTAAAATCCCAAAATAAATTAGAAATAATCAAAATCTGGGGAAGCACGACCCATGCTTGGGAAGCACTGCTTGGGCTTCACAGGTTAAAATACCCAAAATAATGGAATCTGGAGGTAGGCATAGCCCATGCTTGGGAGGCATGACCCTCGCTTCTCTTTCTCATATTTCTATCAATTTCTCTGATTGTCGAATAGGAAAACAGATGGCAGGTCTTTAGTCTCCACATGAAAAAGAAATCGGGAAAGTTGTTGCTCTGATACAAGTTAAAGAAAAATAGTAAACAAGAAAATATGCAGCCTAACTTGCTGGAATTTTTATTGGAGAAATATAACTCAAAAACTTCAATCTCAAAACTGTTTATAGGAACCTGACATATATATTTACTAAACTAAAACAAATCAGTATATAATTAGGATTCCTAAACAACTAGACATTTCTTATATGCATTCCTTATAGCTCATGGAAACAAGAAAAACTTGGACAACATTCCAAGACATGGACTCTACTCAAGGAATCGAGATATGGACCAAACACGCATAGAATGCCACATTGGACTCATATATTCACCAACACTGATGACCCAATGCATTTGAACTAAATGTTTATCTCTACTCCTCTTGTGTGAAATTTGGTTGCAAAACCACGAACCAATTGTAACCATGAAACATCCATCTTCAAGAAAATAAAACATAATATGTTAAAACACGTATGTAAATAAAATATGAGCCAATAATCGCTATATAATGTTAGAGAAAGACAAATATATAGAGGTCCCACATGTTTCTTTCTACACCCTATTCAACAGACAAGAATGAGTCACCTGTTAAATACGTTAAATACGTGACGTGAATAGTATATGGATGTCACGTGTCTATGCAATTTACAATATCCTTATTAGAATTTTAGATTTTATGACACTTGAGCATTTATCGTTTGAGGCTTATATTATATGTATGTCTTGGTGTTTTTCTGTGAAGCTTCTATCAATTCGTTCGGTGGTCCTGGTTCTTTTGTTGATAGCCGGTATATGTACCACATTTTGGTTTCTTATATGAATTTGTTGTAATGTTTTTATTTTATGGATTTTATGTTACAGAAAAGTTTCAATACACCCTAAACGTATAAACTTTAATTAGACTATTCATAAACGAATAAGTAAGAACTCTTGATAATTTATTGCAGGCTTACAAACCACATCTTAAAAAATGTTTTTATATCCTTTCTAATAATGCCCCGATTTGGAGGGCAAAAGATAAAAAGTATATTTTATTGATAGTATCTACTTTAATATATTTTGATATTCTTTATCATTATCATCATACGAAAACATGAAAAAAAAAAGGAAAAAAGTATGATAAAAGGTCCAAACTAATTGATATAAAAAATTGTATACAAACATACAATAATATTTGCAAGGCCCATCCGAACTCATTTTTAGGTCAACAACGTGCGCAAATTTGCTTACACCAGTAATATTTTAGCAGAGTGTTAGATTTTGAATCCTGAACTTTTCTATAGAAATACCATAATTCAAGGGTCAGATCTAAAAACAATTCAACGGTCACGATGAAATGCACGCGGATCGCTATCAATAGCGGCGACGCGTCGTCGCTATTGTGTCCCACCAGATGAAACCCTAGTCGATGGATCACTATAGCAGCCTACGGTCAGGATTAAATGGCGTGGGGCACAAAAGGATTGCTGATGGAAGATCTTTAGAGACGACAACTTAGAGACCATTAACGACGACTTTGTCTAGTGTCGTCGCTAAAGTTGTTGTCCCTAAATGTGTTATTTCTTGTAGAGTAACTCAACTATTAGACTTATATTGCACGGGGATAAATAAAGAGAAATCTCAATCACAATAGTATTTAAAGAAAGAAGTAAAAAAAATATATATAAACAAATTTAACATATAACTACGTTTTATAATAATTTTCGCTATATAAATAGAAAGTAATTATTTGTATGTGAAAATGAAACACGTTCTAATTTCCAAAAGTACGTTGATTTAATCATTTATGGTCAAAACCTTTCTGAAAATGAAAATGGAATGCGTTTCAACTCTTCTATTTTTGTGGATTATTTGGTGTTAACAAAATGTACACTTCTTCAAGATTTGAATCGGAAGAAAGCTTTCTTAATTAGAGAAAATTGTTATACAATTGTTGAGTTTGATTTATAATTAATTGTGAGATCCATATATTACATGAGTTATTTTTTTTTTTAAAAAAAAAGTTAAATATAAAAGTTAAATTTTAAATTTATAAGAAAAACAAGAAAAATAATTGACTTATGAAGCATATATTATATAAATGTTTTTTATCTTTTAAATTTAAACAAATAATTTAAATAAAAAATAAACTAATGAACTTTAAACTTTGGGAATTTTACTATTAAAATGTAAGTTTATTAATGAAATTAATATTCATTTATTACAATTATTACGTTAAATATTATATGGAATTTAATAAAATAGAAAAACTCATAAAATGACATGTGAAAAAAATTAACTTTAAATAACCACAAAATAGCATTTAATAAATTGAATGAAAGTGTGACAAGTAGCAAAAAAAACTTTCATTTATTAGAGATGATAGGATCAACAAACTTAACATTAATTTAGTTAATTTCAAAATCCAAACCTAGCATTGTCTTCTTGTTAATCCTCCCAACCCCTTGCAATGGAAACTTAGTGGTTAAAGAAGAGTGAAATTCCACACAAAAAATCCAATATACAAATTTTGACGCATCTAAAATATTGTTAATATTCCACAACTGACTTTTCGCGTGGACATTATGACGGGTTGACGTGCACCTCTATCAAATGTTCGGTTCCCATTTTTATTTATTTATAATGTTTTCTAAGATATTGATGCTTTTAATGTAACCTTGTGCATTTCTAAAAAAATCAAAGAAACATGTATAAATTTAAATTTTCAATTATTTAAGGTGTTCATATTATTGATTTATTTGATAGTAATTAATAAAATTATAAAGAATAATAATATAAATAAATGATCATATAACTGTGAATAAATGATCATACATACATACATACATACATACATACATACATACATACATACATACATACATACATATATATATATATATATATATATATATATATATATATATATATATATATATATATAGTTTTATAGAATTGTTTTTGATATGTTTGATTATTTTCTTAGATAACAAGCAGTTAAAAATAAGAAAACAAAATTATTTATGAATAATCACAATTTCGATTTTTTGTGATTCTCATTTGAATTTTTTTAGTTGTACACAAAAATGAATGTTCGACAAACTCTTACCTATGTGATAAGTTTGTTTATATTATATGAACGAACAATATTCTTTTTGTTTGTTTTGCCAAACGAATAAACACAGACAATTATCTTGTATGTTTGTTTAAATTCATGAATATTCGTTTATGTTTAAGTTCGTTCATTAATGTTTGTTTACGTTCGTTTGTGTTTGTGAGTATTCTTATTTTCATAAAGCTTTTGTAGCCACATTTATTTAATGGCTTGTTCTAAATATGTTTATTCTTGATTTGAATGTTGATGTTCATTTATTTACATATTGTTCATGATCTTGAACTTTTTAATTTTTGTATTCATTTATGTATGTTTACCTATATATTTATGCTGTATGTTTGTTTATTTATGATTGTTTATATTTGTTCACGTATGTTCATTTACCATCTTCATGAATATAAACGTAAGAAACACACTATATGTTACATAAGAAACCACAATATAATTAAAGAGATAATTGTCTTGTCTTTCGCCATGACTCCGTCATTTCAACGACAACTCATTAGGATATTTATGTTGTGTATGAAAGAAACCAGAATAATATAAAATTGACAAAGAACTGCAAATAATGCAATTTAAGACAACCTCAAAACAAAGCTATAACAAAAGTTTGAAAAAAGTATACATCCACATGAAAGAAATGGACCATTTTGAATCTCATTAACTCGGCCTTGACCCCATTGCCATGAAGACAAGAAAAGGGTGCACTCTTGACCCCATTGCCATGAATACATGCATGAGGTGCAACCCAGAATTCCAGGACCATCAAAATTCAAAAGAACGTTACAATTATGGCTAACATAAGTCATAAATAACTCTTTTGAGGTCCTTAAATTTTCGTCAAGATCCATACTGAGCAAAGAAAGCTACAGCTAGCTCACAGGAAATCTAGGTCTTTATCTCTCTATACACCTACGCCCATATATCATTCAAAAATCTTTTCTTTTTCTAAAAAAAGATTAAAGATTACCCCTTTGTAGACCCCAGAAGATTTAAGCTTCCATTGGTTGAGAAGAACCTTATTACGGTTGCATTGTACAGGAGAATTTAAGTGAGGTGGGATACAATCATACCACACTCAAGAGGTAATCACAGTATGAATCATGTTCCTTGTTTTTTGTGACGAAAGGTTGAATTAGATGGGTTTCTTCTCGGTTTCCATTTATGATTCTTTTATGAATTTATGTTTCGTCATTCTCTTCCACAAAAAGCAATCAAAACTGGTATTTTTGGAGTTATTATCTTGCGTCTAGTACATGGAATCTAGGTGAAACTAATTTGGGGCCTTGGGATTTGACAGAAACTATTTTGGGATTGTTTTATTCTTTTAAAATCCTTCTTTATCGGGTTAATTTTGATTTCAAGAATCTTCTAAAATTGAAAATTTTGCCTTCTCTTCCTTAATTGTGCTCTGTTTTTATTATTCATATGAACAGGTATCTGTTTCTGTGGGAGAAAAACCATTTTTTGACTCAAAAAATTCTATTCAAAACTATTTATAATCATAAAAATATGAGAGAAGAGTTCAGGTAATATCATAAAGTGAAAACAAGGACTGAAAAAGCTCAGTGATGAAGTTTATGAAACTTGGTTCTCGACCTGATACTTTCTACAGTGCAAATGGTGTGAGGTAAGCATCAAAGCCATTTGTTCTCTGTTTTTCACCACTTCCAGTTAAAAACAGAGCCATGTATCGCTACTCTGTTTTCGTATAAAATAACTGATTGCGATAAAATATTGATTTCATCGTTTAAATTCAGGTCAATCTCTTCAGAAGTTCGTAGCGATCTTGTTGTCCACGTGAATGAAACACGATATTTGCTTCACAAGGTGACTTTTCATATTTCATCACTTTTGAAGTTTGTTTTGTCATTTTTACCTTTGATTACACAAAAGGGCTGTCGCTTTTATGCAAATATCCAGATACTTGTGTTTTTAATACTGTGCTTTTACCTCTGTTTTTCCTCCTTCAGTTTCCACTTCTGTCAAAATGCGTGAAGTTGCAGAGACTCTGTTCTGAGAACCCTGAATCCTCTCACCTTCAAATAACCCAACTCCATGATATCCCAGGAGGCAGCAAGGCTTTCGAGTTATGCGCAAAATTCTGCTATGGAATCACAATCACCATCAGTGCGTACAACATTGTATCTGCTCTATGTGCAGCCAAATACCTTCAAATGACCGAAGATGTTGAAAAGGGGAATCTAGTTCATAAGCTTGAGGTATTCTTCAACTCTTGTATTCTGAATGGCTGGAAAGATTGCATCGTAACTCTTCAAACGACAAAGCCATTCAAGTTACAGTCGGAGGAATTGGGTATTACAACCCGCTGTATCGAATCCGTGGTGTCAAAAGTCATTTCTAACCCTTCCAAGGTAAGCTTATCACATAATCAAAACGGGGAAAGAGAAGTCAGTGATACAAACAAAAAGTGGTGGGGTGAGGATATTTCAGAGTTGAGGATCGATCTTTATTGGAGAACAATGGCAACTCTCAAATCCGGAGGGAAAGTGCCTGCAAATCTTATAAGTGATGCTTTGAAAATTTACACTTCAAAATGGCTGCCAAAAATTTCAAGAAATCTTCAAATCGTGTCAAGTTCGAATGGTGAATCGGAATTGGAATCCTCGAACGCAAATGCTAGTAGATTGCTATTGGAATCGATAATTACTTTACTCCCGATGGAAACCAATTCCGTTTCTTGTAGCTTTTTGCTCAAACTATTAAAAGCAGCCAATGTGCTTCAAGCTTCGGCTTCTTCAAGATTGGAATTAGCAAGAAGGGTTGCACTGCAATTAGATGAAGCTAAAGTTTGTGATTTGATGATTCCCTCGATATCAAACGATAGTGATACGATATACGATCTTGACATAGTTTTGAACATTTTGGAGCAGTTTATGTTACAAAAGCAAAGTCAAAAGACAAGTCCTCTAAGAACAAATGGCGATCGTGAGTGCCAGGAAAGCAGCCGATCTTCTTCTTCAACGATAAACGGTTCCATGGTCAAAGTCGCAAAGCTTGTAGATGGATATTTACAAGAGATTTCTAGAGATGTGAACGTGCCATTGTCGAAGTTCATTTCTTTGGGTGAATCGATTCCTGAACTCGCTAGACTGAATCATGACGATCTTTACAGAGCCATTGACGTGTATCTCAAGGTAATAAAATTATATCTTGAATGAATTTCGACTTTTTATGATTTGACTAGTCAACTTTTACGCTTGATCAAAGTTTGACTTTTTGGTTATTTAGTCGCACCCAGACCTCACCAAGAGTGAAAGGAAGCATCTTTGTCGAACACTGGATTGCAAAAAGCTATCTTTTGAAGCATGCATGCATGCAGCACAAAATGAGTTTCTACCATTACGTGTGGTAGTACAGGTGCTATTCTTTGAACATACACGTGCTGCCATGGCTAATGGGCACCTGACCGGGCTGCCCGGGAACATCAAGGCACTGTTAGCTGCTAAAGGCAATGGAACAAGCCCACATGGTTCAGAAACCGTAAGCACAAACATGAGCACACCTCAAGGAGATCACGAGCAGTGGGTCAAGCCAACAAAGTCAAGGATGAAAATAGCAGTAGATGAAAATCCTGATGATGGTTCTTCATGTTTGGTTCCTAGACGGAGGATGTTTAGTAGGTTGTGGTTGATGAATCGTAGTGAAATCGAAATCAAAAACAAAGCTGAAAAAGTTGTCAACTGTGAATAGGAGATTCGACTTGCATTGGTCTTTTGTGGCTTACTAAACGTTTTGATGCATTATATTAAAGTGTATTCGATGAATATATATACAAAATGGTATTGCAATATGAATGAGAATAATATCAAGTGAATGAGACTAAAAAGATGTATAACGAATCACTCTTCTAAGTGTTAAAAGGTTGTTTAGACGTTTGCTTCTTATTTTTAATTAAATATTTGATGGCAATTGAGGGTTCAAAATGTGTTTGTTATTCCTATAAATGTGAATCATGCATGATGATCTTTACAGAGCCATTGACGTGTATCTCAAGGTGATAATAGAATTCCATGAATTTTGACTTTTTATGATTTGAGTTTATGATGATTGAAACTTTGACTTCTTGGTTATTTAGTACCCAGACCTCACCAAGAGTGAGAAGTAGCATCTTTGCGGGACACTCGATTGCAAAAATCTGTCTCTCGAAGCATGACCGGTAAAAACCAAGACCAAAAAGTATGAATGTGAATTCGAGATTCGACTTGGTCTTTCGTGACCGACTAACCATTTGATATGTTGTTGATCGGGTCCGGTCAACATTTTCGTGACCGGCTAATGGCCTGATTCAGTCCTAAAAGAAAATAGAGAGAACGACATTGTAGCACAACTAGGTTTTTGGTTTGTTGCGGATTGGACATTGAAGTTATTTTTTTTTTTCGCAATAAATCATTAAACTTGACATTTACCTATCAATTACACAACTTTCGAACTTATGAAACAGTCAACCGATAAACTCGCTGACTTGGCATTCAATAAACATTTGTATTTAATTTTCTAAAGCCATATAGTTATTTCCACATATTATTTAATATCAGATTGGCATTCATCTATGGACAAAAATACAAATTTTCTCCATTGTCAAACATTACTACCCACCTCTCACCTGCTTGTCTATCGTCGTCCACCACCCACCTGACTGTCCACCATTTTCGGCTGCAAACGGGTTTTCGGCCGAAAACGTTTCCTTTTCCGGTTTCGACGAAGAACATCGTCAAAATCACAATCTTGTCTCTAAAACCTGCAAATCAAAGTCGAATCGAGTGAAAAATAGTTGTATGGTGGTCGCCAAGTCATTACCTAGATGAATCAGGAATCAATTTTGGATAATAAACAACAAAAAATGATGAATCGATAATCCCAACCATGAGCTTCTACTCTTGGTTATGGGTTTAATTATAATTTTAATAGTTTAAGTGCAACAACCTTTATAATTTTTTTATATTCTTAAATCAATATAATTAAAATAAAAGACGAATAGATCATAATGCCCTTTAATCTTAATTTCCTTTTGACTAACTAATACATTGATCGAATTTCCCCCCACTCCCCCAAATCCCTAATTGCTTGTTCGTCTACCTTGAACATAAGGAATTTTTTCGATCGGCCAGTTTCCCCTGTCTCCACAAACATTCACTATGAATGGCTTCACAAACAGTCATGTTCTATTGAAGAATTCTCCATCTGGGTTTTTCCAATTGCAGGTAGCGACCATAGACTCCAAAAAAAGGGTAAAGAAGATAAACAGGTGTACAAATGCTATGAAGATAACCATGGAAAATGGTAACACATTCTTTGCAGAAACAACCATAGTTTCTATCCCTTTAGGAGGTTTGAAATCAAACACCATTACTTTTGAACCAAGACTACCTAAATGGAAGGAGGAAGCCATAGCTAACCTTGGATTTGGAATTGCGAACAAGATAATTTTACATTTTGAGAAAGTATTTTGGACAAATGTCGAGTTTCTAGGAGTAGTTGCAGATACTTCATATGGATGTAGCTACTTTCTTAATCTTGACAAAGCTACATGCCATCATGTTCTTGTTTACATGCCCGTAGGAAAACTAGCAAGAGATATTAAGAAAATGTCAGATGAGGCTTGTTTTGCTTTTACATAGCTTAAAAAATTCTTCCAGATGCTTCCACCCAAGTAATTCTATAAAAAATTGACTTACTTTCAGGTCTACTAATCGAACACGTATATATTGAATGTTTTTTTCTTCTTTGATTGGGTTCATATAGCTACGATACAGAAGGAAAACCCATGATATGTATGATCAGCTTGTTGGATTAGGTGTCTAAGCCAATACATGAATTGGTATATACTTGAATTATTAGCGAAATCCTTTTGGATTGCCCTCAAACCTAGTAAGTGAATATGATGACTTATAGAGAGAGGGAATGATTTATTGCTTTATTATATGATTAATAAATAGCAATAAATGAATTTATTAATATTTTATGAAACTAATATATTAATTAGAAATTGTATTATCTAAATAATAATTAATCAGAAATTAATTGGAATTAATTTTGGGATTAATTGGACTAATTAAAAATACAGTGGTCTAATTGTAATTGTTTAGTAGTTGAGCAAGAGGTTCCGAAACCTTTCTTGGAAGGGGTGGACGGTTTCTAAGGGTATTCCAGGGCATCTAGAATATTCCTTGAAGATATATAGGAAGTTGGACAGTTACCAATTTGAATTAATATTATTCTATTCAAATTAGGGTTATCTAGGGTTTCGTAACTTAACTATATAAAAACCCCCAAGGGCTTCAAATTTTCGGCCAAGCCTCCTTTCCTAGAGGTAGTTGAAAATTTCCATCTCCCATCTCCTATCTCTTAAGCCTCCTTTTTGCTATCGGATGCACGAGATTTCTGGTGCTAGTTTCCACATAACTACAAGAATGATTATTTGATTGTTTACTACAACAATCAAGATGTTTGTTTTTCTTCTATGATTTTCGAAATTACCTAGGGTTATAGGGTACTTATTGTTCAATAGAATGTTAATTCAATAGAGTTATGACTAGATTTAATAGGTTGCATGTACCCTTAAGAGTATAAGGATTTATTCGCATTTTTGCATGTAAAACCTATTAGTGGTATCAGAGCTTATGATTGTCTAACATTTGAATGTACATTGCTTGAACTTGAACAAAACCCAATTGGAGGAAACATAATTGACATTTTGTTGTGGCACCAGGTCGTGGTGTTCTTCTACCAAGACGTGGTGATCTTTGAATATGCGTCTTTTCCCGTTCCACCACTATGTGGCAATTGTCCGCCACGGCGTGGTGGACCCTCTTATTAGCGAATTTTTTTGCTTAATTCATAAATTGATTAGGATAATTGCTTTAGCTAATGTAATTAGATATCCTTATCTTGAATTTGTGAATTATCCTTATGTTTTAATTAATTTTAATTATTTGATTAATTAAAAGATAAAGATTGAAAACATAATTGGTTTAATTTACATTAAATTAATTCCTTAATTTCGAAAATTTAATTTACACCTAGTATTTTGAAAAGTTTTTACAATACACCTTATATATAATATTAAAAGTTAATTACTATATGTATGAGATTAAGTCAGTTGGATCGTTAGCATTCCTCATTCGTGAAGCTGAACTATAAGGGGGGGGGGGGGGGGGGTTATATTGAAACTGTCTATAAAATGGTGGTTGAATGTGTGTCCACTCTCACCCACCGCTTCCTTGTTTGGTGAAGGTTCATTGGCAGAACGGATTTGATAGGACAATAACTTCATTAATAAGTAAAATGAAATAAAAGTAAACATTTTTTATAAAATCTCACTCATAGTTACTTTAGGAAAATGTGAAAAGTATGTTAATTCATAAAGTTGCATGTTATACTTTATAGTAGTTAGTGGAGCGCATGTGGTTAACCGGCACACTAATAGTGACTATAAAGAGTAATAATGGGCATCTCAAAAATTATCATTGATTAATGGAGCATGTTTGGTTAACCGACAAAATAACATCGAGAGTGCCAAGTATATTTGTATGGTTATTCATATCTTATTTATGATCATTGGTATCTCAGTCACAAATAAAAGAGCATAATCAAAGATTAAACATGTCATTGATAGATTTAATGAATCTCAAAAGATCTAGGAATTTCATAGTTCGAATTTGGTAAATTGTTTTTACCTACCTTTATAAATTCACAATAAAATTACGGCATCCCTCTTCTTGGTTGTGAATTGTTATTTTGAATCCTAGCCTTAATTATTTATTTTGGGTTAAAATATTAAGGATTATTTTCATTTAACTAAAACTATTTCTTTTTCTCTATAGATGTCTACTCCTGATGCTTCTGCTCCTTCATCATCTACCCACCACTCGGGTTTCTCCCTACTCTCTATCGTGTCCAAGGTGACATTTAATGGCATCAACTACAATGATTGTTTGCACAACATCAAGATGACCCTTTGATTCCAAGGCAAAGAATATGTCCTTGAAGAAAAAATCATTGAAATCGATGAAGCCAATAGCCTCCTACAACAAAGACTACGATGATGCAACAAAAGTTGCTTGCATCATGGTCGCTACAATGGCTCCTGAGTTGCAGAGGTTCTATGAGGACTACTGTCCATATGAGATGAACAATGGCCTTGTGCAAAAGTACCACAAAAGAGCTCATCAAGAGAAATATGAAGTGGTCAAGTCCTTCATGGCTTGCAAGATGAAAGAGGGAGAGTCTATTTGCAACCATGTGCAGAGAATGCAAAGATACATGGAACACCTTATTAGGCTCAATGTGAATTTTGACGATGAGTTCGCCATTGACATGATCTTGAACTCCTTGCCAAGTTTTTATGATCATTTCATATTGGCTTATCATTTAAACAACAAAGAAACCATGTTGGCCCAACTCCACAACTTGCTACAGATTGGTGAGTCAGAAATAAAGGGAAAGAATCCAACCCTTCTGCTAATGCTCCTGTTCTTGCCATTGGTAAAGGCAAAGGGAAGAAGAGAAATACTGCTCCCAAATCTAATTGGAAGAACAAGTCCTAGTCTGGGTCATCTAGAAATGGTCCAAAGATAAGGACCAACTTAGACATTCCAGCTGTTAGTGACCCTAAAGAGGCCACTTGTTACTATTGCAATGGCAAGGGCCATTGGAAGAGGAGCCGACCCAAGTACCTGCAATACATCAAGGATGGAAAATTCAAGCCATCGTCACCAGGTATATATGCTATTCAAACTAATAACTCATAATCTACTCGTTCTTGGGTCCTTGATACAACATATGGTTTTCACATTTGTTCTGATTAGCATGGACTAAAAGAAAGTGAAGAGGCGGAGCATGGGATGATGAATTTGATCATAGGAAATAAGCTATCTTCTCATGTTACCAAGATTTGGACTTATCATCTTGTGCTTAGTAGTGAAGTTAGTTTAGATTTGATTAATTATTGTTATTCATAAAAAATGACACGAAACATTATTTCATTTCATGCATTGTTCAAACAAGATTTTCATTACTCTTTTAATGATTTGAATGGTTCAATTCTAGTTTATAAAAATGGTATTTTTATATTTGAAGCTTTACCTTGTAATGATGTGTATGAAACTGTGACTTGTGTTGATATGTAACGCCCGTAGATCCGGGCTAGTCAATTTAGAGACGATAAACATCAAAAGTGATGTTTTTTTATAAGATTATTTACAATGAATAATCTAAACTAGCTTGCAGTGGTCGTGACAAGGATTCCGGATATATAAAGAATGTTGAAATCCGAGTTATAACGAAGAAGTTATGACCTGTCAAAGTTTCGTGACAGAACCGGTACGAAACTGCATGACGTAAATAGTGAATTTACAATAGAGCGATATTTAGCCTTAATAATCTAAATGAAAATTATAGAATACGTTAAACCAAGATGTTACATAAAAAGAACGTCTAAATCTGACTTCATATGAGGAAGTTATGATTTTTCGAAGTTTCGACTTAGTAGTATGCAGCCCAAAGTTCGAATATGAGAGCGAGTGGTTTCTAGCCGAAACAATCTAAACGAGAATCGAAGATCTCATCGATAGTAGTCCAACTGTAAAAAGACAGACGAAAACGGACGTCAGAGGAAGGAGTTGTGAATTCCTAACGTAGTTTTCCTGTTCCAGCCTACTAAATATAATATAATCAAAGTAAAAATTAGTTGACAGAGTCTAAACGAGAGTTTTAGAGCATAATCTCACCTACGCGTGCATATAAAGAACGTCGAAAATGGAGCTCGTATTCGAAAGATATTAATTTTTTAAGTTTAGGGCACGAATTTCAACCCTTGTGTCAGAGCTCACGATGTGAACACAGTGTTCATGACGTGAGTAGGTGATGGACGTCTTCCAGGGCAAGTGGCCTAATGATGAACGCCATGACATATCGAGCTCACGACGTGACCACTTGTGGCTCACAACGTGAGCATATGATTTCAGCCTCCTACAAATAGAAAGCGAGGCCAGCCGAGTTTTGTTGCTCAATTTCTTTCCTCTCACCCATATTGCCTCGTTTTACGTGCAAGATATGCCCCCGAAGCCCCGGTATCATCCCGAAATCCGAATGAAGTCCCGAAGCACCGAAAGATCCCGAGAAGAAAAGAGTTTCGAGCCGAAGCTCTGCCCGCGAGAAGCCTAGTGTGTAAAGATATCACAGTTTCACCGAAGAATACTATTTTTAGAGCCGTTGTGTTGTCCGAGCATCGTCGTATCATGTGAGTGCATAGTCCCTTTCATAAACATGATTTTAATACAAGTATTGTTTGAAGGTATTAAATATATGTTTTGTGTGAGTTATTTGATGATGTCTGAATTATGTGTTAAAGTACATACCTGATTGTTTATGATAACTTAGGTTAAAGAGTAAACCTATGGCTTGTTATAAAGGTTATGGAGTAATATCTCTTTATGAGTACGAGCGAGATATATACGGAGAATAGAACTTTAAAATATGTCATTGATCCGGAAGCATGGATTTGACATAGTTATTCATCCCTAGTCCGAGAGTATGGATTGGACTTAATTATTTTTCATTAATCCGAGAGTATGGATTAAGACTTAGTCAGTTGTCATTAATCCGAGGGTATGGATTA